GCCCCACTTTATATTAAGTGGCCTTAACTACTATGTACTTACATCAAAAATTAAGTACAATGTACTTATTGTGTTCATATTGTATTGCAAAACACTTTTGCTGCTATTGAGATGTAATTACATGCAGGTTAGGGACAGGTTTGTTGTTATGGGTAGGTTTAAGGGTGGGTTAAGGTGTAAGGATGGGTAAACTAATTATAAATGTAATTACAGAAATTAATTACAGATGTAATTACATGCAGGTATTTTTAAAATATAAGTACAATGTAAAAACATGTATGTACACAATAAGTGCATTGTACCAAATTATTAATTTAAATGTAAGTACATAGTTGTTAAGGCCACTTAATTTATATATATGTACTACATAATGGTTGAATAAGCATTTATAGATGTACTGTACTTACAGAGATCGCACATCAGAAAAAGTGTAGAAAAGAAAAAAACACATTTAATCTTTCTCTTTGGATAGTGAATACAGAAAACTATTTTTCACTGAAAGGGGCTCTTCTCTCTCTGTTAAGCTTGGATTCTGCTCACTGCGGCTTGACTGCAGAAGTTGTCAAATTTCTTATGCAAATATTGAATCTGTGAAGGCAAAGAGATACTCTGTTAACTAGGGTTTAGTAAAAGGCTGCCACTTAGGTTTGGGCTTACGTAAGCCCAATAATAAAATTATTATATTAATTATACATAAAATATAATAAATATATATATATTAAATAAAATAAATATATTCAATAATAATATTATTCTATTAATTATACATAAAATATTGCTTTATGTGTCACTGATCACTGCGGCCCTAGAAAATAGCATGACCTTCCAAGGAGATTTTTTTTTTTTTTATATAAATTGCAATATACTTCAAAATGCAGAGCATGCCTAATGTTAATATTTTGTCGTTTAATATTTAATAATATTTCATTAATCTGTATTCCAGTTTACTGAAGGGTACCATATTCCTGTAATAGGGCAAAGGTACTTCTAAAATCCCTTTTCTGCTTTGCTTGGACCTCATGTTGTTGGCTATACCTGTATAAACAAAATATCTGTGAAAGATTCACTGTTGATGAGCAGTAAAGCCATTTTTGGCTTTACCTTCAGGACTGCAGTTAAAGGAAAGGTTCATGTTAATGTTAATGTGCCTTTCTTGGAATGCCAGTGAGATCACTATACACTCCAGGACCTCCTATGAATTTTTATTCATGTTAATCACACCCACCTTCACCCAGAACTGTACAGCCCCACATAATTGAGAGTTTTATTTATTTATTTTTTCTAGTTGTCACACAGGCAAGTTACAAGTCCTATATCTTCACAAACGTTTTGTTTTTGCCAGTTGACACAGTCTCTTCATGTACTTTGGACTTACTGACACCTCAAGATAGCTAGCATGCTTCCAGCCAGTCAGTTTGTTTTTAATCTTGCGTAGCCAGACCTTCAGACTGCTGGCAGAAGGTCGGTTCAGCCAGTGATCCTTCGCGAGACAGCTGAGACTAGCTTGCTTCCTGTGAGTCAAATGTCGTTAAATAGGAGAACGGCCAGGAGAGATGGAGACATTTTACACCATTCACATTCTGGAAAACTCAGTTTTGCTCTAGACACCACAAAGACATAGTTTATCGTCACATCCATAACATAAACCAATTGAGTTTAATTCTCACACTATGAACTAATTCATAGTTCCTAACTTAAAATGTTTAACCTGCAAATCCCAGTGGCGTGACCAAAATCCAGTTCAAATGAAAGTCTAATTATTAAAAAAGTGTGTTTTATGAGCATAAATTTGTGTTGGAACTACTACTGCAGTGTTTGCAGTTCCGGGTCCTGTAGAGTGGGGGAAATCTGAGGCAAAATGTTGTAATGGAAGTTTGTAGGGTTGTGTTTGCACCAGTGAGACCAGCCAACTCCTGGATAGGATGTGGTCGATATATGTTTTTCTAAATGGCACAAAAGTACTCTCATTTTTGTTGTTGAAATTGGCAACAATCTCAGAACCAGAGAATTGCATTAATGTCTCATTTAACCCAACTAAGTCTGAAATGAGACATATGTTGTGTTAGCGACAGACTTTGCTTAATTTTTGATGTCATGGTTATTAGTAGTCCATATCACCTTTTGTGTCTCCTTTTGAGTCTCACTGTGAAGACTGATCAATTGTGATCCGTGACAGGCCATAAATAAATTAATAACAAGCTTTTTAGGTGCATTTTTTTACTTTCTCTATGAGGATGTGAGAAAGATATTGGTTGATTTTAAGGACAATATCAAAAATAAGCAAAACAATTATCAGAGACCAAAGCATATTTGTGTGGCACGAAGTGGTCAGGAGTTTGAAAATTACCAATAATAAGAGAAATCCTATAGTCGACTATGCCACCCGGAATACACGGGGACATAACAGCCCTAAGCAAAGGGACGGTTCGTTGCCAAAGGCAGGGTGAGCATAATGATACAGATATAAACAAATCACTTTATTAACATACAATTAATAAAAACACATACAACACTTCACACAAGGTCTCAATACATTACACG